AATGTTGGAAGTGTTTAACTTTTCATTTGTACAGGGGCTCACAGCTGAGAGTTTGCCTTACATTTTGGGGGAGACTTGGGACTTGATTCTTCAGCAATGCTGAAACTGTTAGGACTTTGGCAACTCTTGCAGATGGACTAAATGCTGTTTGTATGAAGGGATGGACATGAGTCTTTGGGGGGCCAGGGGTGGAATGTTATGGTTTACCACTGTGTGTCCCCCCAAAGCCTCATGGGACCATGGGTCAGGCTTTCGGAGTTTGATTAAGGGTGTGAGAGCTGCAGCCACCCTGGGGTGGATAGTTTCATATGTAAGGGAGAGGAAGAGAGTGCTTCAGGCCATTCTTCCCCATCCCTCCCGGGTGTGTGGTTGTTGCTTTTGCTGTGTTCTGCTGCCATGAGCTGTGGCTCTCTGCCATGTGCCACTCTGCCTTGTAATCTGCCAAATATGGACTGAAACTTCCACAAACTGTAAGCAAAATAAACCTTTCCTTCCTTAATTTTGGGCATCAGATATTTTGTCCCAGCAAGGGGAGAAAAGTAACCAAGACAGAATTTGGTTTATTATTGTAGCACCCTGAGCAGGCTAAGACACCAAGCTTCTCTCCAAAGATTTGTTGTGAAGGCCACTTAGAAAGGAAAGACTGGAAAAGCATCCAGTATTTGTGAGTAGGAATACCCACAGTTGTACCCCAAACCTACCACTCAGCACCCATTGGAAAGCTACATGTGCTCTGGTGAGGTTCCCAAGATGCTGCACCCTACACTTAGAAAGTGCTCCATCAGGCAGGGTTCACTTCTTTGCTGGCCTGATCTAGGTAGATGCTTCACAATCGACCTCTTTCTAAAATTTAAAAGGCATGAAAAATCACCCGCACCCAGAGGTGATTACGAAGAATGAAAAACAGCCTGAAATTTAAGAGAATATAGAATTTATTAGACATTGAATAAAAAAACAAAACCATTTCAAAGAGACCCAGAGAGCTCCCTTGACCCCTCTAGGCACCTCTATGCCCTCTGCCTCACTCCAATGAAAGCATTATAAACACCGTGACTAACAAAGTTGAAAAAGACACAAAACTTCCAAGGCCACAGATGCTCAGCTTACAGAGGTTGATGACGGAGTCAGCTGCCATCATTCCTGGAGGAGTCCATTTGGCTGTTTGCGACACCCGTTCAGTCCCTTTCCTTGTAACCAGAGTCTGATATCAGGGATCTCCAACCTGTGACGAGTCAGACAGCCTATTCCCTGCCTGGGACATCTTCCTGAATCTTCTCCATCCAGTACCACTTCTGCTCTGCTATCACCCGACCAAACCGATGCATGGCTGCAGAGTCCAAAAGGGGCAAAGAGAAATGCAAGCTTAATAGGGTTGTACGTGGGGCCAGACATACCCAGGTCATCATAGACCACTAGAGCCTCTTGTTCAGGGATGCTGCCCTTCAGCCGACCCTCCTTTGAGGTAAGACTGCAACCTGTCACAACCCCGAGCTTTGGAATTTCATATCATCAGCCTACCAGGCATCTCAGTGTCCCCTAGCAAATGCTGTACCTGGCGCTCGTGCTTAACTCTTCATTCTGTTTTCCACACTAAACCCAAAGATATTGCTGCTACACAAACCTTCATGAGAATGAATGACTCACCGCTGTATTCCCATTAAATACAGCACTGTCTGGCACGTCATAGGATGCAATATTTTAAAAGTCACGTTCTCCATAACTCCGATAGAACATGCAGTCCATGGTTATGCGGCTGTGTCACCCCCTAGAGGGCCAGCCCCGTGTGAGCAAGGTTCCCCTTCTTACTGCTCACCCCTGGCCCCAGTGCCTCGCTCAGTGACAGCACAACACAGACACCCAGAAGATAGAATGAATGGGTAGGGCCTGGGGGTACAAATGACTTCCTGTTTGCAGAGAGAGCATAATAAAAAATGGAAAAGAGGTTTAGAGGACTGAAGCTACAGGTTGATAAGTGTAAAATAGTTTTTAAAAAAGAGAGGAAGTCTAAGAAGAGTGGATGGAGCATCTTTGAAGGATGCTAGGACAGGATGGTCGGCACCACTCACCGTCTTTTAGATCCGAGGGCCTTTGTGCGAAGGAGAGGCGAAACCAACCAGGCTCCTTCAACAGGTAGGACTTGCCACTGCATAAGATCAGCTTGTGGGCCCTGAAGCGGCGGTAGAGGATCAGTTCTTCTCTAAATGTACATGGTTCCAGTAACTAGGGAAGACAGAGGGACAGAGCTGAGCACAAGCCTGCCCTGACAGGTCAGCCCAAGAACACCTGTCCTCATGCCTAGAGCTCACATTCTTCAAGTTGATCCAGATGTAAAGACCAGAGCCGCGATTATGAGAGATGATCTTAAAGTTGTGCCGATTCTCCAACTGGTGCAGCTTCTTG